AACCGAGCGCGCAACCGTACATTCTTCGCACCCCTAACGTTATGACCTTCGTCGTAACGCCGTGGACCATTACGGGACGGCGTGTGCTGCTTACGTTATTATTGTATAAATCAGCCGCACGCGGCGCCCGGATTCTCTTCTCGTTACGTCCGACACTGATATCGCGCACGGCCCCCGTCTCGTTTCTGGGAATTTTTTTACACCCTGTACCCAACCCCCTCCATCATACGGGAATGGTCGCTTTGAATCTGGATTGAATAGATTATAATAAGCGGTCTTGGTTGTTTTGTGAGACGAAAATGTTCCTGAGGCATTCTTTGGAGTGTGACTGATTGCAGGGGAAGGTGGAGAAAGATGAGGGTAGCTGAGATATTTAGAGCATTTTCTAGTAGAATCTGGATGATCGATGTTAATCGATCTTGAAATTTGACGAACCGATGTCTTATGTCAGATTTGTGAATAATAGAGTGCTGTTATGAAGATAAATAATCGGTTATCATGGAATAATGTATTAATACAGTAAATCCTCGATGAGTGCTCGAAGACTCCTCGGTACTGAACGTTAAATATTTCCGAAACTAATCATCACGTACGGCTGAAACAAATATCATGGACTTGCGAAGTTCAAGTTCTAGCATTGAGCTAAACGTTATTAAAACATCGAGGATTTACTGTACATACGACAGATTTATGGACAATGGAAGACACTGAAACGAAAAGTGATCCATGCACGTGTTCCGAGACACGTAGTAACAGGTTATTCCGTGGGAAGCTAGCGATCGACAGAAGCACAGCTGGAGAATAAATTCTAGAAATTGCAAGTAGTACAATCAATGGAAATTCCGACGATAGCTACACGGGAAGTTAATCAATGCAAGTGTTTTAAATTATTGATGAGATTTCTATACCAAAGCCAGCTGACACACTCGAAAGAAGGTGGAAACGCGCTCATGTCTGGCTGATATCTGCATAATTCCCTCTGATAATACATTCCCTTTTCGTGCTTTCGTTCGTCTTGTAATGAGCAAAGGTTTGCGCGGCTCTCGGCGAGACAAGCGCGAGCGCGCCTAACTCTTCAAAAAGGCGAGCTTCCTCGTTACGATTAATATTTCCCGCAGCTTTACAGTCCGGTTACGAGAGCCCGGAAAAGTGAGCGAGGGAAGAAAGTACACAGTCGTCGTGCCAGTGGTTCGAAAATGAAGGATGCTAGTCGGATAGCGCGTTATCCGATCGGTCATATTTTTTCGAGGCTCGACAGGTCCAACAGTGGGATATTATATATCCGGTTATCGATGTACAGTCATTTCGTATCTAGATCGAGTTACTGTGTTCCTATCGGTAACTTCGCGGCATGACGGTGGAGAACAGAGACGAGAAGAAACGGGTGGCGATGATTTGTTGGGAGAGCGTATCGAGAATATGTCGAGCAGTCGGTCACGACGGAGAATCTATACTGCAATACTACTGTTGAATCAGTGAAATTGACCAGAACTGAACTCTAAGACTTTAAACATTATTGTGGAAGGAATAATTCTGTATCCTATAACAACCTAACACTTTGTTTGATAAACGTGGAAAATTTTTGAAAATATATAAATCTATAAATCAACTGGTTTCTTCAGTTTCGTAGTGGAATGAAAGTTGTAAAAGATATGAAAGAATGCATCGCTATGACATTTTAATGGTCGTTATAAGAATGTACCAACCAGTCACATTGACTGCTTTGGTAGTTCTAATGTTAATAAAAACAAATAACTCAAGAGCTTTTAAGTATCTAACACTGTGTATCTGCGGGTGATTTCTGAAGAGGAAGAACTCGATTACATGTTCTAAAGGTTACATTAAAATCGTCGACGTAGAGTCCCCTTCTTGTAAGTTTTAGTTTTCGTGATTTTTTAAGGCCACTCCGTCCGAATTTTCTGCATCCACTGTACTTTCATATCGGCATCGAGACAGTTCGACCGGTGGTTAAAAGTGGCGCCCGTTTCGCTTTGTGTACATTCAACCGGCCGTAGATTTATCGTCGTTATTAAAACAACCGTGGCGACGCGAGAACCGTGTCTGTCGGCGCGCGTAGGCATTATTCAAAGGGGAACAAAAGAACTTCGGATTAATCGGTAATTAAATCGACGCCGGGCAACCGTAACGCTTCCGATACGGTCTCGCGTATATACGTTAGCTTCCTCTGTGCTGTCGTCGAAGTTCCTCTAAGGTCTGTGTTGTTGTTTATCAACGGACCTGATCGTCTGATGAGTTCGATATCGATCTGGGGGAGGGGTAACTGGGAGCCTGTTAAAGTTCTGCATCGGCGAGCTAAATATTTCCTGGGGTGTAACGTAACAGTATTAGGTCTTCCTGGAAATTCCAGTCGATTCTAGTACGGACGTTCGAATTACATATTTAAAATACACGTTGATTCATCTCTATCTATACAGGGCTTTCCAAAAAAAAAGTGCAAGACGAGGGGCATAGAAAGGATTGATTTAAGGACCTGTGTTGATCAGAAATTATCCTTAGACCAATTTTTTGAACACCTTGTATATCTTCGGAAATATATTTTCTAGTTACCGAGTAATAATACGTATCCAAATGAGATACTAACACTTTCCAAACACTCCACTTGTTATTCCTATCGAAAGAGAATAATATTTGCTTCGTTGAATCACTAGCAAATTGTTAAGAAAAAAGAAAGAACGACTTTAGAGTACCCGCAAGCGAAAATTAACTTGCCTGGTCGCAACGTAACCCCGTCAAACGCCCATGGAACAACGAAGAGCCTTAATTTAATTTCACGACTTTAAAGAGTCCGCAGACAAGATGGCACATCGATCAAAGTTAAGAGAGACCCTGCCAATGAAAAGCCCGTCGCAAGGTAAACTGCCCAAGAGGAATTAAGGATTAAATCCTCCCGGGAGAGGGGGATAGGGCACGTCGGAGGCGGAGAAAACTCATAAGAATTGATGAATCAAGCTAGCAGAGGAACCAGGAAATAGTTCGCTCAGTTGAGAAACTCGTGAATTTAACTGAGTAATCAGTAAACTCCCATTACCCGTCTCCCTCCCTTTTCCAGGATTCCCAGCTGGCGAGGGGTGTGGAGGATGGGGGTGGTCGGGGATTAATTATTTAGCCGGGAGCAATAAGATATGTCAAAGGTGGCTCCAACTACGGAACACGGAGCTGCCCGAGCCGAGTTCATTGCCGCGTTTTATTAATCGAGCTTGCCAGTGACATAAGAAAATCGCCGATTTTATTTGCTGCTGCAAGAACGAATAATTACGACCGTATATTAACTGGACTGACATTTTAAATTACTCGGCGAATTGTTGTCCACGATAAAAATAGTTTCCATCCCACCGTCCAACGATTCTTTCACCCTGATTTTGATAAAATTACAACTACATAAATATCCACCATTCTTACGGTCTTGGCACAGTAAATCTTCGATGAGTGTCGACGGTTCCTCGGCACTGAACACTAAATATTTCATAAACTAATGATCATATACGGCTGAAACAAACATCATTGGATTTTCCAGCTTTATCACTGTTCTAATCCTCATTAAAAAGTCAGCGTTACACCTGGGGACTTTTCAAGGCCCAGCAGCCTTCGAACACTCATCGATGATTTACTGTATTCTATAATTTCAGTTTAGATTCCATGGAGATTCTCGAAATCTATTTCTCGACCAGGTGAACGGTGATTCTCACCCATGGTCGCTCCATTAAACTCCACCTTTATCTCCTCCACTATCCGAACTTTCTTTTAACAGTGCCCATCCGTTATCTCGGCCATAGGGTAACGACGTCGTAACACGTTACTATGTTATGTATTACACCCTGGTCGTAACACGGGTGTAAAGTAGCGGAGTCGGGAAGGAAATAAGTCGTAACAGAGAGCGGAGCTGATTTACGGGCGGCGAGTGTGCATTCCGCCGCGGCTTCAGTTTTAAGGGGTGGAGAGGGGCGGACCGACGCATTTGTAGCCGTACATATCGGATGAGGCTTAAGCGACGCCGAGCCGACAGAATGCATGTCATTAGCGGGGGAAATTTCACGCCAACCGCCTTGAATCGTTGCGTTTATGGGACCGATCGAAGTCGTTTCTCTTCCACATTCGTGGCAGTGGCCTGAGCTCTAAACATTGCGAACGATGGAAGTTCTTTTTTATGACATCATTTACTGCATCCGATAACTTTTTTCATGCTTGATTCGGTTTCGATGGAATCGAAATGTGAACGCAGTTCACGTCGAATTAGGGGAAATCTGTGCTACATAAAAATCAACGATCTGTATGTGAGAAATCTTCTGTTGGCTAAAGAGCGAGAAATGCCTCGAGACTTTTGATTGGAAATTGTATACCATCCCCTAGTTTAGGATTCAAAATAAATCCAAAGTATGTAGAGATTTGGATTCATGTAGCTATCGATGTTTTGACAGCAGAGGTTTCGAAATTAGCAAATAACTCCGCTATTTTGCAACATTTTTACCTCCTCTACATCCTCTGAAAAGTTGAAACTTTTAGTAATTATCTATGATAAATATTCCCAAATCTGTACCAATTTTTGAACCCCTCTGGCTGGTGTAACCCTCATCCATCCCTCATTTTCCCAACTTAATTTGGTGAAGAATAATATAATGAGCTTACAAATAGTTAAATTTACAAATTCTTTAAAGTAAAAGTCACGAACCGTCCGATAAATTTATCTACACATGAAACGATAACGTAATTTCTTAAGAGAAAACTGTGTCAAATTGACACAAGGGATAAGGGTTAAAGTAAAACAAGGAGTGATTTAAAATAGAATTGAGCAAAATCCTGTCCACCTGGTGAATCGTCCAGAACCTCGAAAAAGCTCCCTGGTATTCGAGACGGACTAGAATGGTGGAAGTAATTATAAAATATTTGCCCCTGTTTCCCGGCCAGATCTGCCCGTTTAATGCGACGAACACGCGTTAATTCTATTAACGTCGGGAATGTCCAACGTTGACCGTTTTGTCCAGGTGTCCTGGATGAGGAGCAAGGACCTGCACATCCTCACGTCCGGGACAAGCCCGTTCAGTTCAGACACGAGGTTCGGTCCTCAGCACACACCGGGCAGCGACGCGTGGACTCTCAGGCTGAACAACGCGAGGAAGACTGACTCGGGCCAGTACGAATGCCAGGTGAACACCGAGCCCAAGATGATGTATGCGGTTCAGCTGTCCGTGCGAGGTAATTGCTTCTTCTGCTCTGTGCTACGTTCAAACACGCCCGTCAAATTGAATTGTCCCCTTAAGCTCGTTTAATAACTCCGAAATGTCGCTCGAATCTCCTAAATACACTGCTCAAAAGAATTAGGGGATTGCTAATGTGAGCAGTATAGTTGCATCCACAAAACTGTAGAAATTAAATAAGTGTTTGTAAGTTCGATGTTATTTTAAATATTTTTACGCTTTCCTATTTCCGAATTGGTTCTAACAGTGGTCTCTAATTGGTCTGAGCAGTGTAGTAGATTTACGACGCTAGTCGATGAAAGGGCTCGATTTAAAATTCTTTTCCTATAGGGTAACGAACAATTGCTGAACAGTCACATTTCATTCAAGGTCCCCACGAGTGTCGTAAAATACGAAGGGAATCATCTGAGATTCCCCTGGGGGCAATTTCAAATGTTATTTAGCTGTCGCGAGGCACGTGTGACAAATTGCATTTTGATGACTGGCCATCGCGCTTTTTTTTCTTCTTTCTAGATGCCGACAAGCCGGAGGGCTACGACGAGCCGCATTCACAGCAGACACGAATAAGTAAGTGAACGCCGCGGAGTCGATGGTCTATTTCTGGCCTTAACGTGGCTCCCATCCGCTTCATTGTACGCTCTTCTTGTCGAGGCACGGAAGATCTCGAAATAAATCGAAACGGATGGTGGACTCCGAAAGACTCGACGACGTAGCTGGGACCAGAAAATTCATAAATTGAAATAAAGCCTTATCCCCACGGCCGAAGATCGAAATTCACGCGCGGGAAAGTAAACAAAATTCGCGCGACGACTCGATACTGTGTTTCATGGGATTCCATCGGAGAGGGGATGATTAAAAAATATTTTCAATCAAACAATTCGCGTCGGATTGCCGTTCATTCGGGGCGTTCTATTGCAAATTTCCCGTCACGTATTGACAGTTCGCGCAAATATATACACAACGTCCAGGCAATGCAATCAAAGCTTCATCGAAGGTTTTTCCGTGCGAGCTACTCACGGGAATTAATCCAGGCCTTCGGTTCCGTCGAATACCACCCCCTCGATTTTCGTCTCTTATTCGCGGACAATGTATCTATCATCGTGATTATTGTCATCCAATAATTATTCAGGAGTACATGAAAAAGTGGAAAATATTTACGAATTGTAGAACAATGTTCTACATAGGGCACAGATTTAATACTACTGTTCTCAAATTATATTTCAGTAAGAAAGTGGTTTTGTACATAAGTTTGCAAAAGTTGACTACTTCTTACCATCCTTTTTTAACGATATAACCCGCTAAAATAAATTCTTTCGAATGTCTATTTTCTGGTCAGTTTCAAAGTCTACTTTTCCAGTCTACCCAAGCACCGTCCTTTTTTCGTCGATTCCTCAGAAAGTCAGAGAATATTTCCAGACTCTCGACGAAGTTTCTCGGAGAATACAATTTTTCGCCGGATAATTCCGCTTGGTTTCCCGATCCATGACACTTAAACTACGTTTTCAACCTTATTCCAGCGATTCCCGAAACTTTCCAGTCGAAATCCAGACCATTCCGGCGGGGAAAGTTCCGCGAGAGAGTTCAACGGCTGTTTACCGCGATCTACCGCAGCTAATTTTTGAAAGCAGGAATTACGCAACGCTTTTACGAGTGGTATCAGAACGCACGTTTCGTAACTAACGACGCTCCGTTTCCCGCCCACACCTACCCTCGCGGGGGAACTTTCCCGGACCTGGGCGAATTATTAGATATTTCTGTTGTTCACGGCGATAGTCACGGGCGAAAACCTCTGGCGGGTATATATCACGTGGGGCCCGAAACTTTGTTGCAGCATTTGCATATTACCCGGCACGTGGAATGGTATTCGGTCGTTTTCACGACGATACTTAAATTTCCGTTCTCTGAAATGTATAATTAGCCCCCACCCTCGCGTTTGTAGTATATGAAGCCACCGGTGTAATTATTATCGCATGGAATTACGAGACTCATGGGAAACCCTGGAATGATATCGGACTTAAACGATCCGCTCCGCAGTTCGTTCCGCGAATTCCATCGGTTTATATGATTGTGACAGTCGAGTTTTCCGTCGATATGATTCTGTCAAAGACAACGTTCAATTTACGTGAAACGGAGTTTCATTTTAACCGAATATACAGGGTGATACAAAGCAAGGGTTCATAACTTCTTGAGTAGATAGTACTCACCAAATGGTGAAAAAAGTCGTATTAAACAAGAGTCGAAAAAATAATATTTTCAGAGGTATGAATAATTGTTTCGGTTTAAGCAAGTGACTTCTTCGCTTTGGGAGCTATTGTACTGTACGAAAACAATGGATTACCTTATCATTGCTTCTTTGCCTGGTTACAGAAGGTTTTCTACAATTTCTACTAGTTTTTTCTTTACAATTTTCTTCATTGTTTCCATACGGTACGATAGCTCCCGAAACGAGAAAGTTTTGTTAACCGCTGGCTCATGAACATCGAGAAGCAGAATTTCCTATATCTTCGAATCTACATTACATAAAACACTGTCGAAATTTTAATTTCCAAAGTCACGAGTGAAAGAAATGAAAATGTATTCCATCTTGATTTATAATCATACGTAGTTTCTGATGTATAAAAAAAAGGTTCCGTAGAGGAGAATGATTAAAGGCTCGCAATATTCGCGGGAGTTCTCGAAATGAAAGAACCTCGTGATTTGCGATAATAGAGAGAAATCGGTTGCCTAAGCACGCGGGCGCATTCCCCCATCCAGTTGGAAACATCACGGAACCGTTCTCCCTCTCTCTGATCGCAGTCGACTTAAAGCCGATAGCAATTTCGCGGCGGTTCGACGACGATGAACGCGGACGGGGGAAAATTTCACCGGGGGCCGGCTCGGAAGCAATAAAGAAAAGGTCCAGAAATCTCGCTCCGTACCGGGGATGAAATGATGGAACTTGGAAAGAATTATGAACCGTCCAGAAGGACGGCGCAAGAAGAATCGACGACAGATCCCGGCCGTCAAAGCCAGCGAAGAAGCGCACTTATCCTTAAGTGATTGATGTCGACCGTGTCCGGGGCAGGTGGCAAGGGGGAGGAAATAAAAAGCGTCTGTCGGATGATTTTTTAACGGGTCGACAGTGTATAAAGGTGTCACCCGTTCCTCTATCTCTTACTGGTGTCAAGGAAACGCATCAACCTCCATTAATATCGCATGTTTATAAATAGAATCTCTTTGATGGATCCCCCCAAAGCTCCAGGGAATATTCTATTAAACGTGTACGGAAATAACGTTACTATGGAATAAAAATATACAACTCTCGACAAGCTTGAAATGATTTTTAATACTGAATATTATCACGAATTTTATTATCCTAACCCTTTCGATACGGATATAGAAGTTTAAAAACTGCAGGCGCATTGTGGAGGAATATGAAAGTTGACAATACTTCCATACGTTTAGACATTAAATTATAAATAACATCTGAAGAACGTTCAGTAGAAACGTAATGGGAATAAAATTTAAAATTACACATACTTCCACGAGTTTAACCCGTTCGTTCCTATGACTACCTATTCTGAATTATGAAATCAAATATCTTTGGTAATTTTGAAATAATCTCGGAATGAAAGGGTTAAGAACTGTTTGAATTTCCACGGAGCTCGCTTCGAGGCAGTAGAATACAGTCGCCTATGGTATCGAAAGGGTTAAGCTGCGAACAGAATAAATTCATACCGTTCCCACCATTAAGAACGTTTACCTGAAATTACACGCAATAGTACGTACCAATGATAATTCAGCAGAAGAAGCAATTGAACGTCGCGAGGGGTAAACGCAAGCAGTTTCCCAGGCGATGGAAAACGAGGGTGGCAAAGAAAAGCAAGGGGCGCGATGGAAAAACAGGCTGCAGCGGTGTGTACAGTAATAAACGGCATAACGTAATATTTCGCCACGGAGAAATGCAGTTTCTGGATGGGGAGGGATGGAGGGGGATTAATTCAAGTCTAATAGGATTATCCTTAATCCCGGTAGTCCTGGAAAACCTCCTACTTCCTCCACGGTTTTTTTTTCCTCGTCACCTGGTCGTGGGCATGGTCGTGGCTCAGAAGAGGTCCGCGGCTCGAGAAAACGCGGCATTAAACGGCTCTGAACCGCGATGCTCCCCCGTTGAATAATGTATAATCGTTCCCGAACATTATCGCGACGCCACGTCCACCTTACGTTTCACACCCTCCCACCCCCTCAGACATATTGTTTCGACCCTTTTCCCCTCCTGATGAATTATTAGACCGCATCATTCTCGTCTCGAGTACGGGACGACCATCCCCTGTTTGTGCACACTTTAAACTCCAATTTCTAGACGACCAACAAAACTTTCCGCCATTTTGTCAACCCCTTGTTTTTCGGTCCTACGCCATTTCTTTTTTCGCGGAATTTCTTGGTTCTCCGTGGCGAGGTAGGTCGCGTTTTAATACAGAGACTCAAGGCTCGACTCGCGGTAAGTGAATCGGAATTCTGGTTCCTTTGGGAGAACGTTCTGTGCCTCACGCAACTGTCCTGCGCAGTTTTGAGATGGGTTCAGGAGGTATCTTTTGGGTTCAGCGAATTTTAATGCGGGCTCGAGGTTAGATGTTTGGGAAACAGGTTGGATGAAGACAAAATTGGTGAACAATATTGGTCGATACCATTTGGGCACCACAATTCTCAAAATACAGTTAAGATTCCATGAATGTTAGAAACTGGGGACCCACTTCAATCGTTTCAACACCTTAAAAATATTTTTTCTTACCCGAAGCCCGAGCCTCGGCAACAAAAACGTTAATAAACACACAATAAATAAGTATAATCATATTAAAAAATTGGAGAACTGTTCCAGAGATTCTTTAAAAATGAGGACACTCTATAGAGTTTCGTTTAAACGAATCTTGGATCGAACTGATCGTGAATTATCGGGTCCTCAGAAATACAATCAAATCGGAGGAATGGAACGTCGATGGAGTGGGTGGGTGGTTAGCTGCCTGGAGAACATAGAGAGAGAAAGAACAGTTCGATTTTAAGCAGGAACTGGAGCGTACGAAACGCTCTCGCGACGGGAGAAGAAAACGCGTCGTTTCGCGGCGGCACGCATATTAAACGAGTACTTGGCTCGACCCTCTAAATTAAAATGTACAAACTTGACAGTGTGTCCCCGCTGCTGCGCTACCTCCTTTTCCGCCGCTTCAGCGGGAAATACTTTTTCTTTGTGCCTGGATGTGTCTACTGTTCGCGGAGGTACAGAACGTTCCGTATTAATTAAAATTATTCCGTAACATTAAAGCGCGTAACTATTATTTCCGTCTTCCTCAAACGATGTTTCATGGAAGAAATATTTAACGTAGAATATCCAATGGGATTATGAGAATCCCACACGAATGTGAATTACGTTAAAGTAAGGACGTACAGGGATAGAAAACCTCCGATATACAGGGTGTCCCACCTAAGCTTAAATATCTCACTTACTTTTGAAAATTATTTTAACAAATGCTTACAATGACATCCAACAATTTCGACATATTTTTGCACTAATCACTCTATCGTAGTTCCATTATTATTTAATCCTATTTCTTCAAATTTGTGGATTGGTCTTGACCTCAAACTATTACGCGACGATGGTAAAAATATGTAGTCCCGTTTAAAAAAACACCGATGACCTAGAAAATTCGAAAGATATGACCCTGAGAAAATTTGTTTCATTATAGCAGTATTTGCATCTTCAAAAACAAGTGAGATATCAAAGGTGCGGAAAGTATATTAAAGCCACGAACGAATCGTGTCCTGGTACCGCGCGGTCGCGATACATCAGAGGCCACGGCTGATGCTGTCAATTAAAAAAGTTGCGAAAACTTCCATTCCTGGGGATGGGGTCGATCGTTCCCGCGACTTCTCGAACTTCCGTGCCGGCGGTACTTCCACTGGCGAGCGTAATTAATTCGCCTCGAGGGGGTGTTTTCATCATGGAAAACTAAGGAACGAAAGCCGGTCGTCTAATGAAGTCATCGAGAAAACCAAGGAATCTCCCATTGATCCCTCCGAATCGTGAAACTTGACCCCCATCCACGACATACAACCGTGTAACGAACCAACGGCACCCCTCTTTCCGGTTCACGGAAACGTAAAATGGATTTATCCACCCCTACCCTTCATCCAACACGGGGGCTCCACGCTGAGTAATTACTTTCTCCATCCTCGACGCAACGAGCTGCTTAACGTCACTTCGAACACCCACCTCTATTTTTTATTTATTTAAGTCGACCGAATAGAAAAGCTCCTGTGGACATAATCCATTTGTCTTTATCAGCGAATGCACAGACATTTGAACGAATACATTTAGCAGGCTCTAACGGGAATATTAAGTTTTTTAATCTACAGTGTTCAGGAAGGATACTTGCGAACTTAAAAATTTGACATAAAATGACCACTTGCCTCATGTGTTTATCTATTATCGGATACTTTACTTATTCAAATATTCACTAAGGTGTATACTATGTTTATGAAAATGTGCTGTTACTAGTAACACGGTAATATAACAATAGTAACATCAACATATCCGTATCATATAACAATAGTGACACTAACACGTGTGCCGTTGACTAGGAAAGTGGTGTAAGTCATGCATTGTTCGTTTCCAAAATTCCTCCACGATTTTGAAATATAAATTGACGTAACATAAAATAAGAAAAGAATTCCTTATTTTTGCTTTTTTGACTTACGCCACTTTCATAATCACTGGCACATATAGTAATACCAGTACCCACATCCTTTGCAATTATAAATATCCATCACTAGTCAGAAACATTATTAAATCCTATTCAAATTTATAAATTCAGTATCCTTAAACACTGATATCCATATCAAACCCATTCTATTTCCTACAATCAGTGTATTTACTCATTCGCAATTACCTGCCATCTCAATTACACCAATCAAAACAGCCACGATTTCTCCAGAGACACAAACACAGCAAGGATTCAAAGGACACTAAATCACTCCGTGAGCACGTTGCATTGTTCAAAGTCACTGTATACAAGCGAGCCAGGGGCGAAAATACACTGTTATAATCAGGTTGACGAGGTGGCGCTGACAAACCATTTAACGTCGTCTTAAGCCCGTCTAATCTCGTACGATACCGGGCCGTCGTATGATATTTGTTCCGTACATGGGTTGCAGGTTACGAGAGCACGGCGCCAGTGGCTGCTATAATGGGTCCGCGGGAGCAGAAGGTGGCACCGGGTTCGACGATCACCCTTAGGTGCGTCATATTGTCCCCGTATCAGACCCGACCCATCAGGGGCGTGCAGTGGCTACGGGATAACAAACTCTTAACATTCCAGGTAACGCACATCCCCCTTTGTCCGACCCCCTACGAACGTTCGCGAGGCACTAATGAAATTTTTTTCACGGGACCGCTCGTCGTTGTCATCCTTCCACTTCCTCCTGTCGCCACGTTGCCCCTCACCCCTTCACTTACCACTCGAGAAGGAATCTCAACAGAGACAGAAGAAACACGGTCGTCAATCATAACAAGCGACAAGGTCGAAGCTTGGATGAGAATCAACCCTTTCCTTCGTATAGGATATTTCTGTTTACGTGCGTGGAATATGACGCGTCTTCGAGGCGAGCTGAATCGAAATTGTTTACGGGATATATCTTCGGGGCCAAAGTCAATCTGAATTTCTGCTTTAACCCTGCTGGTGTCATGGAGTCTACATGACTAAATGAAAATTATGGTTTTGAATATTTGTTCTTAGCATCCAATGTACTTACATTTTACGGACACTTTTTGTTTATCGCCTATTGTTTAAGAACTAATCATTTCAACATTGGAAATACAGTGAATGATTGATGAATGGTCAAAGACTCCTCGGCACTGAGTGTTGAGGCGCTTCTCCACCCCCAATTTGGGGGTGTCTGAATACTCAGTCTTCGAACACTCATCCATGATATACTTTATTCGAAAACATGTAGAATAAATGATACAAACATGAAGAATAAGTGAGGACAACAGCAGGGATAATTTAAAATTACACTGTTTGACTGGTCTGTGTATTTTTTCTGAATACCGATTTGAATCTGCTGTTGCGAGAGAGTATATTCTGGTAGAAGGAACTCTAAATCAATAGAAAAGATAATTCGAGATTATTCCGAACGATCGAATCGGTAATTTGTTTATACAGCTTCACAGTCACTATATTATTCACTGATAAAAAATATCTCTCGACAGGGAAATAATTATCGAGGCAAATTCTATATACCCGTGGAATGAAAAACGCACGGGTTAAGATCGGGGTCGCGATACCAGCCGGTTGAAAATTTATTCGACGAGATCTCTGCGATGCATTTTCACCGGGCGATTTATGACGAAATTACGAACTGTGCGAACGGTTCCGCGGGATTTATGAAATTTTCCCAGCCGGCGCGATATTTTTCAATTGTAACATTTGCATTTCCCAAACACCGACAGGTGTTAATTGTAAACACCCCAGTGTCTATAGACGTGGCGTATCCCAAGCGTGAAGTTTTTCGTTGGAATTTGCCACATTGAATGTTTACAGGCGGCACGAGGCGGGATAAACGTGGAGACGGAGCGAGGCGCGGCTCGCACAGTTTCCGAATTGACTTTGGCGGAGGTGACGCCGAACGACGTCGGGAAATACTCGTGCAGACCGACCGAGGGACGAACGGACACTGTAATGCTGATCGTCGAGCCAGGTTAGCGTTGGAATTTCCCTCGAAAGCTCGTTGGACAATTTTCATTTTCCCCCTTTTCCCCGACATCCCTTCGTTGTGACAGGAAAAGACTTATACAGAGTGTTTCGGAACGATCGACGGGAGGTGACTTCACGTGTAAAAAAAAAAATAAAATAGAAAAATGTACAGAAGAAATCCCGATGAAAATATTTACGTACGATGCTCCGTGTTTTTTCGAGAGAAACGAAATTGGAGGAATCTGTATGCATCGGGTATTATTGATTCGTAGTACACAAATTGGCGCACAGTCAAGGATATCGGTACGATATATTTTTTCCTGTCATGTTTTGTCAAAATCTTCTATGTACAATACAGCGAGATAAATTGAAAGCAAGTAAAACAGTGACATTGTTATCATTTAATACAAGTAGAATTATCCAGTAATGACCAGACATGAGGTTAACCTTTAGAATAACTTTTTGTTGATACAATATTCAAAAGGATTATTAATTCTACTATCTGGCTATAGTTTATTAGACTTTTCTTTCGAACAAAACTCACAGTTCGAAAACGTCCTATACAGACATTATCGAAATCACCAAACAAAAGAACTCCGTTCCTTGCCTCGCGAACCCAATAATAAGAACGCTCCGCCCGAAAACGCCTCGGCGAAGCGACTAACACGATTTATATTCGATTCCCCGGCGGTTAAGTCGCTGCGGCCACAGTCAAGAGAAACGGGGGTGGAAAAAGGGAAACAAGGATCGCCGAGGAGAAGGGGTGTGCAGCCCCATGATCTAAAGTCGCGCCTTAGGATTACTCGAAACACTTTAAAGTTTTAAGGAGGCGGCGGTATTTCACGGCGGGACTATTTGTCTGGCTCAGACCCTCGGTTCGCCGCGGACGTCGTTTCGGGTCGCGCGAGAAGGAGGGAAAAATCCCGGAGAAAAGTGGGCGACGGTGCATGTGTCCCTGCCCTGTGAGAAATAAAGAAAGAAAACCGGGCGAAGAAGGGCGAGCGTGGTTTTCGGGGCGAGGAAAAGGGTGGAGGGGGGGGGATGAAGGAGGGTCGTAAGCACACTTGCATGCTGAATTCACAGGCAGTGGTCTCTATTATCGTGAATTCTCCTTCGAAAGTTATTGCGAGGAACCGGCGGGACCGCGCGACGTCACATTTTTCCTGGACTACCGACGCCCACCTTCGTCCTATGCACGTGGATACACACGTATCCCTTCGTCCTCTCTCATCCTAGACGTCCTTATCCCTGTGTCCCATGTTACGATGGGACGCGGCCCGTAAATCAGAACTTCGCCGACTCGTTTCGTAGTTCCACAGATTGCGAATTTACGCGGTTTATAGGCGAGGCAACCTCCCCATTTCTCCTTGTCGACCGACGTTAAACTGGTCTAATGCGAGATTACGCGGTGTCTCGAATATAGCAGTGATTACGAGCTCTGGGCCCTTTCGATGCTGGTTTTTAGAAAGCTTAAATTCATCAGGGAAAGAATTAACGTATTCACTGACGGTGGTTTTTAGGCGAGTAAATTATCCATGAGTGCAAGATGGCCCCTAACGGTTTTTAAGAGAAACTCTAAATTAAATATTGATGACGATTAGTGATAACGATTTCAAAGTGAATTTAGTAAACATATATATTATTAGTTTTCTTTTAGGTCGACGTGAAATACTGTTTCGCTGGTATTAACATTTACGGTTTAAAATAAATGTAACATTTGAGATAAGAATAGAATTCCTTTCGTCTGGGAAAATATTAACGATAAAGTAATTCTTGAGAGTGAAGTAAAAACTCCCTGGTCACTGGGGAAAGTTACTCGCAAATCTAACTGATCGTCATAGTGTTAATACAGTAATCAGATATTACGTTCTATCCAGACACTAAATACATCCATAAAGATCCGACACGCACAATAGAATAATAAATCTGTTCAGTGTGTCATAAAGTACACAGTGCGGAAAACCGTATGAATTCTCCATTAAGAATCTTCCAACGTGAAACGTTTCGCAACACGGAAGGGAACGATGAATGGGCGAACGTTAAAAACACGCGTGGACCGTGTGTTTTTCCCGTTGCAACCCCAAAATTTGAATACCTCGGTTCCCCCGTATGATGAAACGCTCGAGAATATCGTTTGTTACATCGGTCGTGCAACATTTCGTCCGTGCTCCACGTTGTGGGGGCTGTTATCGATCCGCGGCTGATAAATCAGAGTTTCGGGCAATTCGCCGCACGGTTTTCCAAATTGCGAATTTACGCATGTTTATAGGGGGTGGGACACACGATCGAGCGAAAACGTTTTCCGAAAGAATTACCGACCGACCGGAATTAAACTGGGCACCGTCACGACGCCTCCAACGCGGAGATGATTTTTACGAGCTTACAACACGGCGAATATTCGCATAAATATTCGTCGTAAATATCGCTGTAAAACGGATGCGCCTCGATGAAACACCAGGAACAATCGTGGAGGCGTAGAATTATGAGAAAAAATTATTAACGCCTGTCAATGACAATGGTTTTAAAAATAAAATCGTTTAAACAGCGTAATATCCCGTGGAAGAATTCATTTAAACACTTTGAACGTTAATAGAGAAAAAAAGTAGAAAACAGTACTTGCATTGATGTCGACTGGTGACCTCGATTGTAGACCGCAACAGCAATTTCCAGGCGAAAAAACCCGACCCTTCTTCAACGATTCGACTTTTCCCTGACACGTACACCTCACTCGAAGTTCAAGGAACGACTGACAGGTAGGACACGCGAACGTTCAGGTAGAAGTTTCCTGTAACCAATCAGGTAAACGTTTGCAAGGACAAGTGAGGGGTTTCGGGATCTGGTGGTCACTAATGGAAACAAATTCCTCGAAATCCTTGCGTCTGAAACAGAATTATTAATTTTATTTTCCCTTTCACTCGACAAAGAAATTAAAACGACTCCTTCCACTATTTTTAAAGCAGACAAAGAACTCGAGGGATTTTCTTCGACTACTTTCAACACAAGGCGAATACAGTTTCCGTTTATAAGCTCGAAATCGTCCGCCAGGACGATAAATCAGAACTCTGGGGCGACGCTGTCCAGTGGATCGTGTATTCACGCGTTTTATCGCGACTGTGGAGGCGTTTCCATCACAGAGGATGGGATTAAAGGCGGCTGTCGAGGCGATTTTTATGAGCGTTCACACCCGTAAACACCGCGTCGACGAAATTGCGCGGGCAAGGCGGAAACGCGGCGGTGAATGCAGGCGAATCGATCGTCTTAAATAACGAACCCGCCCGCTCGGTTTTATTAATCGATCACCTCCCACTGGTACGAACGAAATCGACGTTCCCGTGATTAATTAATCGCGGACGGCCGTGGAGGCGGGCGGAGAAAAATGACTTTCGGTGGCTTTCTGACGAACGTCGGCCACTGAAAGCGACGCAACGGTAATTTTTCACGCCTGGCCTCTGATTGGTTGACAATTTCCACGGGCACGATGGACAGATTTTCGCGCGAGACTTTGGTACTGTGATTTCACGATGACAGACCGTCTTAACGTTTTTATTTCTGGAACGAAAATATTCTCTTGGGAATGTACTTAAGTTCGCAATTTTAATGGTTGGGTTATGTTATAAATAAACGGTGGATGTTTATGTGAATATAGAATTTGGGGATTAATTTACGTACTGATTATGTACTGATCTACCTGGCTATATAAGAAAAAAAAACACAAATGGCTATATTAAAAAAAAAAAGATGTACCAGATACAATTCTACGTGCATAATTAATATTCTGCAAATCTCAAAAATCTGTGCTGAATTCTTTCCAGCTGTTCAGTGTATTTTTTTGAGTTGGGAGACCAAATGACTGATGTATACTCTAGGTGAGGTCTAACTAAGGTTGTATACAGTAATTTTTCTATGTTAAGAAAGTCTGCGGAGAATCGTTTTGTAAACCCAAGAGTTTTCAAAGCTGTATTTGTGATAACAGACTAGTGTTTGGTAAAATGAAGATGCTTACATTAAAGAATTAAGATCAGGAGACTCCGTGTGTCCCATCGATGCAATCCACGGGACAAGAAGCGTCATTTGGCTGATTCGACGAACACCCTGGCGAGGATTTAACGACTTTTGAGGAAGCGAACGAGCAAAAAACGTGGCCGAGTACAGCGCCAGTCCGCGGCGCAAAGTCGTGTTTTTGTTGAGAACCCAGGCTTGCTGTCTGAGCTAATTCTTATGCGATCGTAAATAACGTCGCGCATATATCAAAACTTACACCGAGTTCCCATTCCCCCTCCCGTTCGTTCTCGCAGTCGTTGGCTCCTGCAACAATCCTGTCTCATCCACCGCCACCTCCACACGTTTCCCCCCTCAATTAGAACGAGGTTCCATCTTTCGTCGTCTCGTTCCCTCCTCGTTTGCCTGGCCGAGCCATTCGAAAGGCAGAAACTCCCAGCGTGACAGAAGCTGCCAGGAGCACTTCCAGACGCGGCCAGATTAATGATACAATTCCCCGATTCTATTAATTAAGAAAGTTAATTATGCTGGAATTCAATTTTCCTAATTGCACATCACCTGGAGATTCGTGGCCTCTCTCACTCTCTCGAGTCGCTATCCTCGATATCTTCGTACCAACTAGAAGCACGTAGCCCAGCTCGAGAGGCCTTTCGTTTCGAAATTTTTCGTTTTGCACCGTTCCATCCCTACGTCTACACCCGTGTCTCCTTTTCATTTCGCTATCTCTCGGATCAAAACCGTTTCCTCTCCGCTCTCTGGAGTGCCTCTCGCTTTGACTTCTTCTCGAGGATCTTCGACGCCCCTGTAACCATCTCCCCCTGAAATCCCTGAATTTTTACTGGGGCTCATCTTCAACAGGATCTGTTTTTAAGCGCGTGAACCGCACCTTCTTTTCCAAACCACGTCTTTGATGTTTGTTTCGCGAACGAAGATTTTAATATTTGGCCTGCGTTCAGGAGATGCCCCGTTAAAGGCCATGCACGTGCTTTTAGCGCTGTTGTGCTC